CCCCCCCCCCCCCCCCACCTTGGAGATGCCCAGGGCAACCCCACAAGGTGCCACTTACTTATTGTCATTATTGAGACTATCCGTTGGCTGCTGGTACTGTCCGTTCATCCTGCTCTCTTTGCTGTAAGAAACAGGAGCAAGACTCCACATCGTTGGAAATAATAACCAAGCAGACGCCTGGCTCAAATGATATACCACTACGACCGGGGCCTCCTACACCAGACGCGGCACCAGGTACGCTCCAGACATGCTTTCTAGGTCTTCCAGCAGCTCTCCCTTCTAGGGGCAGACTATCCCCAGGTGAAGGTGAGGCGATGGGAGGCTTAGGCTGGCGAACTGACCTGCCCAGAGCGTCTGCCACGAGGCGCAGAGCCAGCCCAGATCGAACTGACCCCATGTCCCGGCAAGGAACAGTCTTCCCCAGGCGCTTCCAAGGATGAGCGGCTGTGGCGACACCTTGCTGCCTCAGGCCAAGTTTGTGGTAATTTGTTACAGTGGCCTAGGAAACTAACACATGTCTAACATATTAGGGAAGGTTGCCCTTACTTGGAGGATAGATTTGAGGTGGTCTAGGATATCAAGACTTGAAAACAAGAGAAATGGAATCTACAACTGCAAAATCAACTGTGTTTATCTGTAGCCAACATCAGTCCCATCAGCGATCATGCTGTTTTCTCGCGGTGATCCCACCTCGACAACCTGCCAAGTCTGAAACCTGATCGAGGATCACTAGGGAGAACCCAAAGCTGAAGCAGCACATCTGAGGAAACTAAAATGTGTCTTGGGTCAAGATCAGGATAACAATTCAGTTTTAGCACATATGGATACATCAATGTCTAAACCGGCTCATCGGGACCCCAGTGCCAATCACTGACCCCACAGAACCACACCCTCCTGATCACAGACACGGCTTAACAAACCCTTTCATACCTGGACGCCATGAAGGGGGTCATGTCCAGTTCCAGGGGAAAGGACACATATGTGGTGATCTTCCTCCTCAGTTTGGCCGAGTGTTCAAATCGCTACAGAAATTTGGGGTGGGGGTGGGGGGAGAGAAGGAAGAGGATGAAGCTTTACAGGTTTCCCCTGATGGTGCCTCTCTGTACACTCCCAAAAGTGGGCTTTCCCTTTCTGAATTGCCCTTCGGCCACGTCTAGAGCTAACAGATTCAGCAACGTGATATTAATCCATACAAATCTAATTTATACAGTTCAAAAACGAAGTCTTGAAACGATGGGATTGTTCAAAGTGATCGACACCAAGCGTACAAAAAAGTAATCCTACGACAAACCCGGCAAAGTGCAAGGTAGTAGACAACAGAATATCCATAACGTCTGGGAGCAAAAAGGAACATACTGTTCTTTTCACCAGACAAAGACATTCCTCTGCCTAGACTCGGGCCACCAAATCCAGCTAGAAAGCCAGGAATGGTTCGGTTTTGTTTTTTGTTTTTGAAAGGGCCATAAAATAAAACAAAGATTAGAAAACAAAGATTCTGTGTGGCTGTGAAACCTAAAATATTTACTGTCTGACCCTTTACAGAAAAAGCTGACCCACCCCTGGATTGGATCATAATGCTAAGAGTCTTGTTTGCTTTTAAAAAGTAAAAGGACAACAGAAAACTGATGTCGAGGGGGGAAGAATCCGGGTGGGAGGAGAAGTAAAATTTTAACCCCCCTCCCCACCCCGGTAGAGCAACTCACATCCTATTTTCATCATGAAGTCATTACTTTCGTTTACCACAAGCCTCTCTGGGCAACAGAAGACGGGGAGAGAGTTCCAACTTACCACCCTCTGGTTTCTCCAGTGTTCTTTCCCGAGTCACCGCAGTTACAAGACATACTTCCTGCACCAGACCAAGAGGCTCTCAGTTGTACTGGGGATTAAATATGGCGTCTGCCACTGGAAAACTTACTTTGAGATGAAAGCAGGCTACGATGGGCAGCTTCTTCATGGTGAGCTGCTTAGTGGACTCCTGGTAGCTATGGCAGCCGCTACACTTGATCTTGGCGCTGCTTCCTAAGTGCTCTGGTCTCGTGAATCTATGAGACATTTGTATTTTTAGGAGAAAAAGGTGGGAGGGGTGAGAAAAGGAAAAGACAGAAAAGAATCATTTGACCGCTTTTGATCGGCTAATTTCCCTACTTAAAAACATGCGTATAGTTAGGGGTGTTTGGATTTCAGAAAAAGGAGATGACGCTCACACAAAAACTGTACACAGATGTTCTGAGCAGCCTTATCTGCTTTAATAGCAAAACAAAAAACAAAGAAAAACCACGAAAGAAGCAACCCAGATGTTCCTTAGTGTACGAAAGGTTACGTGACACCATGGAATACTGCTAGTCGGGAACAGAGAGGGACAAACTATGGATCCACACAACCGGAAGAATCTCCAGAGAATTACGGCTGGGGAGGCAAATGGGGCCCTAAAATTACATGTCCTAGGGTTCCATTTACAGAACATTCTTGGAATCCTGAATTTACAGAAATGGAGAACAGATTCCCGCTGCCAGGGGTTAAGAGACAGCAGCGGTGGGAGGGCAGGAGGAGTGGCTGTGAGTCGCGATGCAGGGCTGGGTACCAATGTCAGTACCGTGGTTGTGATCCTGAACTCTGATTTTACAAGATGTCACCACTGGGGGAAATGGTAAAGAGTAAAGGGTATCCAGTTATTTCAGATAAATGCATGTGAATCTGTCTCTCAAAAGTTAAATCTAAACAATGGGGAAACGAACATTTTCTAGTGGTGAAGACAGATCACAACATAGAATAGAAAGGTTGCACTAAGTCAGTCGGCAAGCATTCCTGTCACAGGTGGTGGTTACTAGAGGAAAAACGCATGAAACAGGATGTTTCAATAGGACTTATGCCAAATTTTTTAAGTCTAAAGCTGAAAAACAAATAAAATTCATGTTTTCACATGGGGCCTGGAAATCTTTCTTTATGCTTTGGAAATTCTGTGATCTCACCAGGGGCACGACGACGCCCCCTTATGACCAACGCTGGCCCTGCCTGCCCCACGTACTGCCCAGGACATGGAAATCTGAGGAGAGCAGTTAGATCTCATTGGGGAGAAGGACGGAACAAGGCATCTGTGTTTACTGTAACCTGCGAGAACTAGCCCACAAAGGCAATCAACAAAATCCAGAGTGTGCATAATTCTGTGGAAAAGGAGCTTCTCGGCACAGAAACAGCAAGAAAACAAAAGGGGGAGCGGAAGCCTACGGATTGGGAAGGGACCTGTGAAAGCAAGCAACCAAATGTAATGTGTGGTCCTAGTCTGGGATCCTGATTTGAACAAAGCGCACAAAATAGTTTTTTATAAAAACAATCAGGGTAGTTTGAATACTGGATACCTGACTGGAGGAGAGAAGAATGCACCTGTGTTTAGAGTGAAGACTTTGGATATACCTGAATCGCCACAACCCTACCCCACGATCCAATTTTCCAACTCAAAACAGTTTGGCCCCATCCCAACCAGACTGCTCAGAGCCACCCCAGGGACCGCACCCGCCTCCCTAGCGTCTCCACAAGCTGGTCCAGCCAGCACTGGCAATGGCAGGCCCAGGCTCGAGTACTCAGACCATGCGTCACTACTGAGCAGAGAGCACTGTGCGCTGAGGAAGAACACTGACTTCTAGATCTGGAAGCCCGATGCCAACCCACAGCTAAAATTAGGCCTAGACTCTGCTGGTCTGCAAACATTCAGAAAGGCGATCGACGGCGGAAAGCAAGCGCCCAGGGCAACAAACCTACCAGGCCTGGCTGCAAAGAACACTTCCTTTTTTTTTTTAATTTTTTTTTTTCAACATTTTTATTTATTTTTGGGACAGAGAGAGACAGAGCATGAACGGGGGAGGGGCAGAGAGAGAACACAGAATGCGAAACAGGCTCCAGGCTCAGGAGCCATCAGCCGAAAGCCGCTGGCCAGGGGCTTCGAACTTCCAGGACCCAGCGCGAGATGCGACCTGGCTGAGAGGTCCGTGCAACTAACAGACTGGCAGCGCAGAAGCGCCCAAAAGGCACATTCTATAGGGCCCCGACCCGCACCATCCTCGCCAGAGAAGGAACGAAAGCCAGACACTCTGTGCAGTGTGACACAGGGGAGCTCCAACTCCCGAAACAGCCCTGGTTCTGTGGTTTGTCAGTCAGACCGCGGGTGAAACATTCCATCTCTCCTCAAATCTGATTCACACACTTTATGCCAATTATATTCACTTGACTACCTATTCTTGATTAAGCTACTGACCAATAAGCACACTGCTTCTCACGATGAGACGCTTATACAATGTGCACCAACTGGGGTGCCTGGGCAGCTAAGTCGGTTAGTGTCGATTTGACTCAGGTCATTGAATCTCTCACAGCGCATTGAGTTGAGCCCTGTGTTGAGCTTGAATGCGACAGAGAACTGGAGCTTCTTCAGATTCTGTGTCTCTCTCTCTCTCTGCCCCTCTCCCACTTGTACATGCTCTCTCTTCTCTCTCAAAAAATAAAAATAAAAATAAAATAAAATAAAATGTGCGTGTAAGTCAAGAATCATCTTTTGAGGTTTTCCCACTTTTAATTCTTCTGGAAGTTCCTAATCATCTGTCATTTTTCTTTCCATGTGCAGTGCCCCTAAGCTGAAACACGCCCACCCCCACCGAAATCCCTGTCATCTCTGCCAAACTATGTGAACTTTCTGACACGAAATATGTCAACCAAACCTGCTTCAGCGCCAAGAAAATGTACTGAACAAGTCCCACGGTGCCAGACACGAAGAGGATTTGGCTTCAAATTCACATAGCCGTAAGTAAAGAATGGAAGGACGACAGAGCCCAGGGCACAGATCTTGTCAATTATGTATCCGGCTCACCCTCCACTCGTGTTCGGGGAAATTCCAAACCTAGGTGGGAGACAGGGCTGTCTCCCTTTATGGAGGTTTACCACAAAAGCCAGGTCATTGCTTTTCCCACCCACCTGCATGGTGGGCACACGACCTAGGCTTGACCAGCCGGATGCCCATCATTAGGCCTGGAAAAATCTGGAAAAATCATACTAAAGAAGCAAGTGCAGGAAGAACTTGTACTGTCAGGGAGCAGCATCTCAACTGCACCTGAGGGCAGCCGGCCCAGCAGCGGGCTGCACCTTCCGGATGCTGGTCGCCGAGCCTCTTCTGGAGACCACCCGCTTGCTGAGCAGGCTTTTCTTTAGCCTTCCTGTGGATTCTGCGAACTCCCTAGTACCTTTCCCCGCTTAAGCTCACCAGAGTCCATTTCTGCTGTCTGCCGCCTGGAAAGCCCTCCGGCCTGGCATACGCGGGCACGCACTCACTCGCGTGTCTACGACACGCCCATCGCCACGGGAGGGGCCGCGGGGGCGCACAGAGGTGGTATGAGGCCGTCTCCTCCGCACTGAGAAGACACAGCACGTAAACGCAGCAGAACTGAGAGCAACACAAAGAGTCGGAGCCCAGAGAAAGGGGGAACATGGAAACCTAGAAAAGCGACAGGCCCGTCTCAGGAAGGCCTTCGTGGTCCCGCTGAGAGTCCACCTCCTCCGCAAAGGGTTCAGAGCACACAGTGAGCGCTCCCTCAGGCCAGCTACAGAGGGGTGACCGCCTCCTAGCCACGCCCGCACTTGCTGAAGACTCAGGAGGGAGGGTGTCTGCAGCCACGGAATTACAAACACCTCCGCCGGCTTCGTCATCTACTCCCACAGCGGAACTGGAAAAGGCACTCTTTGCAAGTGACACAAACTGGAGACAGATGTGCTCCGCCTCTTCTTGGCCACTCGGGCAGGGACCTGGATCCGCGGCACTCCTGCTCCTGACCTGGCACTCCCTGTGCATCTCAGCTTGCCGAGTGCTCCCTCCCTGCCTCTGCACTGTGGGCAACCTTCCAGTTTTACTGAAATTCATAACTAAGTTCAATGGAGTTGTAAAGACTCCCTTGGAAAATGGTGGGTTTTTTTGCTTTGAGCATTCGCTTGTTGTCCAAATTACAAGTCTGATGCCCCATTTACATCTGGACCTATCAGTGTGACAAAGCCGATGCACTGAAAATTCTACACATGCGCCTTTGAGCCTGCTGACGTACAGGGCAAGATAAATGCCATGAAGCTTATCCCTCTTTTTAAGGAACACCTCCGCCCAAGAACGTATCTACAGCAACCTTTAATTCAACAAAGGTTGTCGAACACTAAACTCAATTAAAATAAAGCGTGGGAAGGGCTTCCGTTCCACAACATTGCAGGTGACACCAGCTACCTTAACACGTTTCACAGCAACCCTGCCCTAAACCTCAGCACTTGTCGAAATCGGTGGTGTGGTAAAGGGACACACACAACACCACAATAGGCTAATCGCCTCCAGGAAGGGCCATGTGCCACAGCGGGCGGCCAGACTCCGGTGCAGAGCATTAGTCCCAGAAGGTGAGGGAACTTCAACTTCTGCTCTGTGGCTCCCTGTTAACGGACACGGGGCGGGGTGGGGAGCGGGGGTAAGCAGCCGTGCCACACACAGGCTACAAGCAAAGCCGGCTAAATGGAAATCTCTAGTCATCGTGCAAACATGTGACAGACCACGGGAGCCACCTGCAGACTGTCACATCTTTCCTTGTTGTCTACACAGGACATGTGAATAAAAATACTACTGGGGCCCTGGGGTAGCCCTGAATTTATCAGGACTTTACTCTGACCAACCACTACCCCAAAGAGCCTCAAGGCAAGGAGAGACAAGTGCCTGCAAGGAGAGACCATTCTTCTTCTACAAAAGCGCAGGCGGCTTTCTTACCTTCGCAAGCAGTCCGTGAGCGTAGTGGTTCCCGCTACGTGGCTTTCCCCATTCACCACGCTGCCCTCGCTGCCTGGGCTCAGGGGCCAGAACGGGGTGGAGGAGCCAGGCAGGTCTAAACTGATGTCCCAGAAGGGGTCAATGGTGGTGGAGACTCCACTAGAAGCAAGAGGAGATAAACGCAGAGGTGAGAAGGGACAGCCATGCACCTTCAGGGGCACCCCCTGGCGGACGGCACCTTGACGTCCTCTCACAGCTCTGCCCTTTCATCCAAAGGGCATCGAAGATCAGGAAACACACTGAGTGCCCCCACACACCACGTCCTGGGCCCCCAAGGTGGCCCTACAGAGGAACAGCACGTAAACCTCTTAAGGCAAAGGTTGCTCCTAAAGCAAACCCAGGAGATCATCACAATCATTTTGGGGTTTTTGTGAAAAATAGAAACTTCTGGGCCCCACGTCCAGAGACTCTGAATTGATGGATGTGCGGCCGCAGCATCTGAGAACCGTAGAATGTTTGCCTGGGAGCTGGAAACCGCGGGCCTAGGTGGAATGGAGACATCAAGCACACCTAACGTGGAGAGAACACCGACCAGGCACAGCCCCACAGCCGGACAGCGGCATTTAATGCTCTATTTAACAAACCGGTTCCCTCTAGCGGAGAGGTTTATTTTAAAGGACACAGAAAGGAAACTCACAGACTGGAATGTTACTACAAATATTTAAGCAGGGTATTGGGACCCCTGGGTGGCTCAGTCGGTTAAGTGTTGGACTCCGGCTCAGGTCACAATCTCATAGTTTGTGAGTTCGAGCCCCGCATCGGGCTCTCTACTGTCAGCGCAGAGCCTGCTTGGGATCCTCTGTCTCCCTCTCTCACTGCCCCTCCCCAGCTCGCACTCTTTCTCTCTTGCTCTCAAAAATAAACATTAAAAAAATAAAATAAAATAAACAGGATATTAATCCCAGACAACCTCCTGCTGAAGGAGTTCAGCAACACAGAGCCAACGAGGAGGTTCTTCAAAACTGTAAGTCTAGGGGCACCTGGGTGGCTCAGTTGGTTGAGCGTCCCACTTTGGCTCAAGTCACGATCTCACGGGCCCCACTTCTGCTGTCAGTGCAGAGCCCACTTCAGATCCTCTGTCTCCTCTCTCTGCCCCTCTCCTGCTTGCGCTCTCTTAAAAATAAATAAAACTTTTAAAAAAGAAGGAAAAACTGTGAGTCTAAACACTGCTTAGAGCAATGGCCCACGATGACACAAGCTGTGTCACAACAGAAAGCGAAACGAGTTATTCGTAACAGAGTGGCTATTTCCCAACATTAATTATCTATAATTATCTATAAAAGTACAAGTAGTAATCCCCATGAGTTCTGAAAATAATTTTAATGGACTAAAGTTTTTTTAAAACTAACTTTTTTTTTTTTAACCAGAGAGCATAAACTGGAGGAAGAAGAGGTTCCTACAACCTACCTCTCTCTTGAGAATCAATTACCTTCTTAAGCCTCACAAATAAAAGCTCTCTACATACCAAACGAGCTCCAACTATAAGAGGATTAGAGGAGGTTTGACATATGCGGTGGTGTGGAGGGGCGTGTGTAAAAAGCAACCCACTCTGGAGCACGTGTGCCAAGAATCTGCCGTGTGCGCCCCAGCCCCCCCGGAAGGCAGGGCTCTTATTCAGCTCCTGGTGTCAGGGACACCGGCGAGCAGAGATGGGGGGGGGTTGGACTAGACAACAGATGTGTGCCCCTCGGGCCGCTGGTCCCTAGAGGGACAGTGACAGCCCTGCTCTGGTTTGTCCTGCACTCTTCTCTACTGGAGCCATTTTATCTCTTGGTATCTGAGTGACTTTTGGCTGCTCTTTTTTTTTTTTTTCTGTTTCATAACACCTTCTACAATGGCATATATTGTCATCAAGAAGAATGAAATCTTGGCATCTGTAATGACATGGATGCAGCTAGAGAGTATGACGCTAAGCGAAATAAGCCAGCCAGAGAAAGACAGATACACCTGTATATGGATTTCACCCCTATGCCTGTAAATCTGAAACAAAACAGATGAACGCAGGGGAAGGGGGAAAACAAAAGGGAAAGGGAAGGAAACCACAAGAGACTTAACTGTAGAGAACTGAGCACTGGAGGGAGGTGGGTGGGGCTGGGGGGTGGGCTAGATGGGGGATGGGTATTAACTAAGGAGGCAACTGTTGGGGTGAGCATGGGGCGCTATATGTAAGTGATGAATCACTGAATTGTGTATCTGAGGCCTATTTTACCATACGTGTTAACTAACTAGAATTTAAATAAAAACTTAAAAAAAAATTATAAATTTCGAGAATTGTATGTTCCACAAAAGAAAAAAGTATCAAATCAAAATTATCAATCTAAAAAAATAACAGAATCTGCTTCACATCTGCTTGCTGCTGCAGATGCTCCTCTATAAGGACCAAACGTTCTTTTTTTCTCTTTTAATGTTTATTTTTGAAGGAGTGTGAGCAGGGAAGGGGAAGGGAGGGGACGGAGGATCCGAAGCGGGCTCTGCGCTGACAGCAGAGAGCCCGACACGGGACCTGAACTCACGAACTGTGAGATCAGGACATGAGCCGAAGTCAGATGCTTAACCGACTGAGCCACCCACACGCCCCACCAAACATTGTATTTATCCGCACATCACCAAAAAGGCGCTGTGGTGGCACCAACTTTTAGCTCTAAACATAAAACTTTTTAAGTTTGAGAGAGAGAGTACACATGCGTGCACGCACACACAGAAGGGGCGGGGTGGGTGTGGGGGGAGAAAGAATCCCAAGCAAGCCCCACGCTGTCCACGCGGAGGCCGACATGGGGCTCCAACTCATGAACCACGAGATCCTGACCTGAAACCAAGAGTCACGCTTAACCAACTGAACCACTCAGGCGCCCCTCTAAGTGTGAAACTTTTAAAAACTGTGCAGAACGCAGCAGCTTCGGCGGCTAAACGTGTGCCACGATGTTCAACAAGCAGCACCCAGAGTAAAGTCGGCCTCACCGACAGGTCCTGGGGTCCCACATCACGGTCTGGCCGGCACGGCCCCGACAGCTTTCCGTGTCCCAGAAGAACCCCCGGTGCAGTGCGGGACGCCTCGCACTTACTGGCAGACCTGGCAGGTGACGTCCGACTGCAGTCCGCCCGTGAAGATCTGGTCTATGATGCAGTTGCAGTGGTTGGGGTTGTTGGCCTTCTTCCCGTTGTCATCACCTGGGGAAAGACCGCAGCTGTGTGATCTGCAGCTGTGCCCCCAGAGTCCGCACGTCTCCAGGAGCCACAACCCAAGGGGCAAGGCCATTCGCCTACAGAGGCGTGAGGAAGCCAGAAGTGCCGACGCTTTCGAAAGGGCACAGGAAGATACTTCAAAGAGGGAGACTTGGCAGGAAAAGAGGAACAACCCGGCTGGCTTATTCTCAATTCTCTTCCTTGTCTCCACTCCCTAAGATCTGCTTGGCTTCTACCTTGGCACCAAAATGTATCTCATGCCCAATAGCTGGGGAGAGTTACGGATTCCCTTTTCCAGGTATGGAATGACCGAAGAGTTTCGCGGTGGCGTGGCCCGGTGGACTGTGCCTGTGGCGAGCCCAGGGAAGCCCCCCCTTCCCCGCGCTAGTCCTGCCCGGGGCCCTGACTTCAGGAAGTCCCTGTGCAGCACTCCTGCCAGTCTCTGCTCTTCTCGTCAGCTCCTGCTCTCCGGAACCTCAAGAACAGCTCTGCTTTCCTTCCGATCGGTTGGACCGAGATAAGTACTATTCCCATCCTCTCTACTTCGATGTGTGTGCACACACAGGGGTACCAAGCTTACGTGATGGAGCACGGTACACATTAAGCAATACTGTAAATACATACCATGGAACTTTCATTCGACTAGACCATGGGGCTAGACTATTTGTGCCTATCTGTGTATATATTATATATCAAAAAGGTTAAATTATCGCACAGGAATAAAGGATGCGCATTAGGTCTTTTGACAGCAAGAAGACACAGAGGAAAACAAGCCAAAAGACACCGGATGGTCATAACCACACAAAAGAACACAGTCAAGGGCATGGCAGGCCTGGCTAACGGGCCTTCCTGTGTGCTGTGACCTAGCAAGGCTGAAGGAGAATTCTGATGACCGTGCTTCTAACGAGAAGAGCCGGACGTTTCTTTTGACATGTGAAATGGAATCATGTGTGAGAACGGGATCACCATCACCGTATTGTGTGTTCATCACACGAACGTTGTTTTAACACCAGTGCATGGTCAAGCAGTGGATTTTCAGGATAGACTAATGCTGGTTACAGAAGTTTCCTGATTATCCTCAAATGCTCGGGATAATAATTTAATAATCTTACACAGTGGCTCTTTTCTGTGTGTACGTTGTACTTCGTGCTGGGAAACCAAACCCTACCCGAGCCACGAAGCACTGTTTATTAGGCTTCCCAGGCAAGCACTGAAAGGATCGTGTGTGTGTCTTTCAGGAGAAAACAAATTAAGTACACAAAAAAGCCAGAACCCAAAGCCACCGACAGCTGATCGGAACAAGCCACCTTATTTCAGGTTTGGCTTGCCTCTAAGTTGTAATGCGAGACAACACAGGGCATTTGTGAGAGCAGCTCAGTGACCGGAGAGAGGCTGGGAAGGAGCCGTAGGAGGCCGTTCAACAAGACCTGGAAAAAGTGGACTCTGCTCTTTAACAGAATCCATGGAAGAGAAAAAGAGCCAGTCAGGAATCCCTTACCACCAGCTGTACCAGCCGGGAGGCCACAGGTTACCCCGGCACCCTCCAGCTACACTGGGGCGTGCTACCTGAACGGGCCGCATCAGCACCGCGTGGGAACGCGTCAGGAACAGAAACTCCTGACCTCACTCCGCACCCAGCAAAGAGGAACACCAGCAAGCCCTCCAGGGGCTTGCTGTTATTCGGCGGCGTGTTATTCGGTCCTAATCTCCTGTCCGCTGTCCCCTTCCCCAAACTCTCAAACCCCACACGCATCTGAGACCCCTGGGGAGGCCGTGACCCTCTGGGGCTGGGCTGTGAGACAGAAGCCAAGATCCAGGGAGCTCCTAAGAGAGATCTGAAAAAGCCCTTGGCTGGACCCAAAAATGAACGTGACTCAGGGTCAGGGAAACTGCCAAGTGTGAAGGTCTGGTTTGTGTTCTCAGCTGTCTGGCTGTGTCAGAGCAATGACCAGTCCTTCTGGAGACCCGTGACGGGAGGGAGCCGGTTTTGATGGCGTCTGAAGCATTTTTACAGGCCCGCTGCCACGCTCTTCCACCCCAGCAAGGTCAGAAGACAGCACCCAGAACGTTTCCTCCGCCCTTAGAAACAAACTGTGAAGAACCTCTTTGAGGTATGAACGGCTGTTTCTTACGGGAGATGAAAACCCCACCAGGTCACCGGGAGCTGTAGCAGGCCCCCACCTTTGCAGTGCCGGTGCAGGACGTCCAGCGCCGCGATGAGGAATTCGTGGGCGTCCTGCTGCTCGTACCCGGCCAGGTGCCGGGCGTGAGTCCACACCAGGTGCAGCAGCTTGTACGGGATGTGGGGGGACCGGTGCCCGGAGTAAAACTGCTCAGACGCACACACACACAGAGAAGGAAATGGGGGAAAAAAAAAAAACCTGTCAGGAATAAATATCATCCTCTGAACACAGAGCACACACAATAAAAAAAATTATTAACAACTGCCTAGAACTTCTTACGGCTACTCTGACAAAAAATGGTTCCAGTTTACTCCCCCACTCTGTTTATTTTGCAAACTGCATTTTTCTCTGGACTCACTGAACTTTTTGAATCCGTCCTCTCCCTTCCATTTTCTACAGATAAGCCAAAATGATGAATTAGGAGCGCCCGGTATGCAAACCAGGGGGGCAGCTGCTGAGTGGGAGTGAAATGCTGCAGCAAAGGTACCGACAGAAACAGACGAGGCTCCTCTGCCGGACCCCGAAGTACATCCGGGTCCTGTCGACAACCAATGGGGCGGCCGAGCAACTTCAGCCCAGGCACGCTTTTTGGCCACTAGGCGCACAGGATCCAGCTCAAGGATACCTGAGCCCAGGCCTGAGCCCTGTCACGCTCTAAGCGATGGTCAGGGAGACAAGGACAGGCACGACCTGGGAGCAGCCTAGGATCCAAACAGGACAGAACCCGACGACAGAGACGTTCTGGTGAAGCACACTCAGGTCTGGCAAGGGAACAGAAGGTCCACTCTCCTCGAGAACAAAGGAGGGAAGCGGTGTGCGCGCCTACGTGCGCTGCTGTGAATCGGGACGGCAGACCCGTCCCCCAGAGGAGGGAAGCGCGAGATGCCACAGTATTTACAGGCAGATGTCTTCCACCGGCTATGCCCCTTTCCAAGGGCTCTCTCGCATCCTCCCAGCCAGCAGTGTGCCTCGAAGTGATGCCTCCGGTCCCCACCTAACAGTTCCCTTTGGAAAAGGGCGACGTTCCACAGCAAGTGCATATGTTAAATACTCGCTGTGTGAGGTTTCAGAAATCTGCTTCCCTTTATTCCGTCAGCCTTATTTTTTTTTTAAAGGGAGAACACAAGTGGTGACAGAAATGTTACGCTGCCAGAGTCCACGGCGCTCACCTCCTGAAAAAGTGAGGACATCTCACACACCAGACACGAGCTGGGGCTCTGCATTTCACACCGGTGCCTGTCGGAGAGGAAGAAGTCCCGCAGGAGCGGCGTGTGGGTGAGAGCCTGGACGATGCAGTTCATGAAGCACGTGTTTCCAAGGTTGATCAGCCCCCGCAGACCTGGGCAGGAGGCAGACGGGACAGCAGGGCTGACGGGCACTGAACTACACGTCCCACTGAACCCCGATGGCACTGCTGTGCCTCCCTTTACATGTACATGCTCGTTGCCTTTCATGCATTCATTCAAGAGGCAAAAAGAAATGCAGTATTTTCCAATTTTATGCCACCTTTATGGGAACTGTCCTGAGGAATGCTCACTATCACCCTACCCCTCACTTCAGCCGTTATATTTTGATAGAACTGCTCACAAATATTCCAGAACGATGGGAAAGGTCAGAAAGGAGCCTAACAAACAAAACCTATTAAAAAGTTTCTAAAATGTATTCCTGAAGTCTTAGAAAGCCCAGAGAACCATCTCACACACATCCTTTTCTCTCTCACTGAAGATTATGTACAGCCTCCACTTGGTCAGAATAAACTTGAATCTTTTCCCAGGAGAGACCATCAGGGCCACAGGGCAGGGACCATTTCCGCCCATCACCATTAGGCACGTTAGGCCTACTGCAGCCCCCCACAGAGGACAGATGCTCCAGAAGTAGTTGGGGGTGGAGGGCAATTGATGGAATGAGTTATACACAGGTTTACAGAGAGCTGTACTATGGGGCCCACCTGTTTACATCTATTGTTAAACCCAGAGAAGCAAGCCTCACTGGCAGCGAGGACAGACGACCGGCCGCTCCAAACACTGTCGCCCACCTACCTATGGTGCAGTTAGAGGTGATCTTTCGCCTTTTCGGGTTGTGTTTCAGCAGTTCAAGCTCCCGTTTGGTTGGTTCCCAAGTTGAAAACTTCTCCCCAACGCCTAAGCGGATGGAAGACAGTTCCAGGCGCCATGAGCTCAAGTTTCATCAAGTGTGTTTATAAATAAAAGTGATGGTGATAGAATACTTAATCGGGTTGTATTTCAAAGCAGGGCATCCCATAACACGAGGTCTTTCTAGAACCATATTATATTGCAATGGGCTAAAAAGAACACTTAAAAGGAGTTTCTTTTAGAAAATGTGTGAATAAGCAGTTTCCCGTGAGAAAGAAAGCAATACCTCCAGTTAATGCCACAGTCACGCTAATGCCAAGATGGATGTTTTTTCAAAGCCCTTAATCCTTGAATAGAGAGCCTGTAGCATCAGCCCTGGGGCGGGGGGTGGGGGGAGGCAGTGCTGCACTTGGCACTTAGACGAAGGCTCTCCCGTGAACGAGTGAGTCGACAGGGAGAAAATGCACTCGCCGTTTGAAAATACATGTCAAACAGCCAAAGACAATGGCGTAGATGCCACTAAGTGTCACACTTCATGCAAATACCGATTCACTCAAAGGTACTTGTTCCTTGCAACCTAAAATTTCTGCAAAATTTAGTAAACTTTAAAAGATATAATATCTCATTGACGGATGGAATTGTAGAATGACTTTATGTAGAAGAGGTCGATTTTATTCTGGGACATGCATTTCTTAGCTCCTGTGCGTTAAATGTCCTTGCCAAAGAAATGATATATTCGGACTTAGTGGCAATGTTACTAAATTTCTGAGAGGGAAAAGAGTAGGAAGTTGGTAAAGAGACTGTTCTTCAGAAACAATCCTGATCACTGAGAGCACCTGTTTCTATTGTTCCGCTCTCAAAAAATGGGGTTGTTTTAAAAGCAGAGCAATTGGGGACGTCTGGTTGTCTCCGTCAGTCAAGCGTCTGACTCTTGACTTCAGATCAGGTCATGATCTCCGGGTTTGTGAGACCGAGCCCCACATCGGGCTCTGCGCTGACAGTAGGGAGCCTGCTTAGGATGCTGTCTCTCTCTCTCTCTCTCTCTCTCTCTCTGCCCCTACCCCACTCACACTCATGCTCGCTCTCTGTCAAAAAAAAAAAAAAAAAAAAAAGGCGGAGCAATTAAGGCCAAAAACTGTAAAACAGATATGTTCTCCTTGTGAGCAGTGATGGGAACTGTCACTAGTTGAGAAATGCTCACCAGCCACACGGGGTAAACTACACCTACTACCATTGAAACCTGTGAGCATCTGCCTAAAGAAAGAAAAACAAATCAAGGAACCAAAAAATACATCAATGAACAATAAAGAAAACCGCTGCATAATGTCTGTGTCCATCCCCGACAGCACCCCTTGAAGAGAGCCCGTGTGAGGCCAGGGAAGCGACAGCAACGGAGAACCCCACGCTGGTACTATAGCCACTGTGAGAGCAGAAAACATATACTGGTCTCTGCCCCGGGTTGCTGGCACAGAGCTCCCCAAACTCTTGTAACCTCCTAAGTGATAAGAGCGTGAGCATTAGGAGCAGCTTCTGTTCTAATGAGGTGACTCTCGGTGGGTTCCTGGAGGCGGGCTGGTTGCCAGAAAGACCGAGCCTCGATGAGAAGCTTGGAAGGTTCAGCTCCCTCCCCACGCACCTGTCTGGCCAGTCACCTGACCTGCCTCTCGCCTACAGGAGGGAGTGAGCAAATCAGAACCCAACCTGCAAAAACCTAGCTGCGATCCTAGCTCTCTAACACTCACTTTCTCCCTAGATGTTGGTCTTTCTCTTGGGACGTTCTGCCCTTCAGACACACGAGGGGATGCAGGACTAAGAGACAAATCAGGCACACAAATCTAGGCCAAACCAAACCTTGCATTTTCCAAGCCTTCCGCTGTTCCTCTTTGGCAATGATCTCCATGTCTTTGTCGTATATGTAGTCCTGACACAAAAAGCAGTAGATCCCTCCATACATGAGATCTATGGCTGCAAAGAGAATGGAGGGAAGAGATCAGATTTAATTACAAATGTACAGGTAACGCTTAAGGTCACAAATGAAACCCCTAAGTGTTTTAGACATTTCACTGTTTATACCATTTCCCTACTCTCGAACCATAGAACCCACCTGTTGCAAAATGATTGGTCCCTCCCATTCAGACCTCTATCCCAAGCAGGTGGGGTGTATACTAAGCAGGTGTATTTTCCCCGGAAGCTCCTATGAAGGGCTGAGGAACCCAAGAGAGGGGTCAACGTCCACATCTCACAAAGAACCTAACTCTCAAGTATCAGGACCTTCTGTCTTTTCTCTGAAAGGGTGGGGTTTTTTTAAACACGGGGGAATTTTATTTATTTATTTATCTTGTAATGTTTATTTATATTTGAGAGAGTGAGAGAGACAGAGTGCCTGTGGGGAGGGGCAGAGAGAGAAGGAGACAGAATGAGAAGCAGGCTCCAGGCTCTGAGCTTTCAGCACAGAGCCCAACATGGGGCCTGAACTCAAAAACTGTGAGATCATGACCTGAGCTGAAGCCAGGCGCTCAACCAACTGAGCCATCCAGGCACCCCGAAAGAGTGGGATTTAAAACAAGGGAAAACTTTCATGGAGTACGATCAGCTCCTAAGGATTCTCGGCCACCTGACACATAAAACCGTTTTACTATATCTAGAATTCCTACAGGATTACAAAAAGGAACACAACAGCTACCGGCCTACTCTCACTTCAAGGACAGCTGTAAAATACGCTCTAACCAGAGAATCTTGACTTCCTGACCCACAGAGCTGACTGCTGCTCTCACGCATTTTCTCAACCACCTCATCCACAGAACCCGGCCCTTAGTTACCACATTAGAAAGTAAGATAAAGTCCTTTAAGCACCTGGAAGAAAGGTACTATCTCCACTCAACAGTTAAAAAGAATTTTTTTGGCTGAGATTCACCAAGATGTTTGAGAGGCAACGCAGCATGGAGGCAAGAGCTTTACAGATTTACAGAAACTAGTATTAATCCCAGCTCTGCCATGTACCTTTATGGACCTCTGATGAATTACTCCACTTCTCTGAGCCTCAGTTTCCCCTTTGGTATAATGGTGATAGTAACAGCACTAACACCTCATAGGTTTGTGTGGTAATTTTATAACGTCACAGTACACCTAGTATACAGTAGTGTCTTCATAAATCACAGCTCTGATCACATTCTATGCCTTAAGTTACTATGACACAGATCGGTAATACTGTGGTGGATCTCTGAAGTCCTCTGTAGCAGGTGTACGAAGGCTCAGTTTAAGAATCACAATCTACCCCTCGCCCCTCCCCGCAAACTGACAAAATTCCTACAAATTCTTTGAAAGTCCCCATCAAAGCTCTGCGGACAGCTCGGTTCCTCCTCGGCACTTCGTATTCCTTGAATGGGAAAAGTTCCTGGTGTGGAGATACCAAAGCCAGAGACAGACTACAATGAGGTGGTACAGAAATTTTCAGGAAAGCAGAGACATTCGATACAAAATATGCCAGGGGTGCCTGGGTGGCTCAGTCAGTTGAGATTCCGCCTCTTGCTTTCAGCTCAGGTCACGATCTCATACTTCGTGAGATCGACCCCATGTCAGGCTGTGCACAGACAGCATAGAGTCTGCTTGGGATTCTCTCCCCCTCTCTCTCCCCCACGTGCTCTCTCAGTCTCAAAATAAATAAACAAACATAAACAAACAAATAAAGTGCCAAGCATGCAACCAACAGCCCAACTACCAGCCTGGGGAAGGCATTTAAACATTTCAACGTGTGTTCAACTCGTCCTAGACAAGCTCTTCTTCAAGGCACCTTTCCACACCCTTTCCACACCCTTCACTCACTGTGTAAAATGAATGAGGTCAGCTGGGGTGCCAAGACCACTCAGTGGGGGAAGAACAACCTTTTCAACAAATGGTGGTAGGATGACCAGAAATCCAAAAACAAAAGAATGAAGCTCAACCCTTACATCATATACAAAAATGAACTCCGAAAGCATCAGCAACCTCAATAAAATGCTACAAGTATAAAACTAGTAGAAGAAAACATAGAGGCTAAGTCTTCATGACCTCAGATTTGGCAATGGACTCTTAGGTTTGACAACAAATACACAAGCAACTAAAGAAAAAAATAGGTTAAGTTGGACTTCATCAAAACTAGACTTTCTACACCAACGGATGTTATTAAGAAAGTGAAAAGACAACCCACAGAATAGGAGAAAATGTCTGCAAATCATGTCTCTGCTAAGGGTTCACTATCCAGAAGATATATACATATATCTCCAAGGTGTGTGTGTGTGTGTGTATTTCCAAAAAATACACACACACTCACACACACACATATCTCAGAAAGTACAACAACGAGACAAACAGCTCAACCCAATTAAAAACATGAACAAGTGACTTGAATAGACAGTTCTCCAAAGAAGATATACGAAGGACCAAGAAGCACATGAAAAAATATTTACCATCACTGGTCATTAGGAAAATGCAAATCAAAGCCACAATTAGACACCACTTCACACCCATCATGGTGGCCAGAGTTATTAAAAAAAGAAAGAAAAGAAGTGTCGGTGAGCATGTGCAGAAACAGCAACACTCAGGCACTGCCGGCAGGAACGTAAAATGGTGCAGCCACTGTGGGCAAGTTTGGTGGCTCCACAAAAAAGTCAACACGGAAATATCATATGACACCGCTAATTCGCTCTAGCGAATCCGCTCTAGGTATACATCTTAAAAAAAGGTAAACGTATGTCCACACAGAAACTTACACATGGATGTTTATAACAGCCTTATCATAAGGGCCCAAAGGTGGAAACAACCCAAATATCCATTAATGGATACAAAGATAAGCAAAATATGGAAGGTCCACACAATGGAGTGTTACTCAAACATACAACGCACGGACTACTGACACATGCTACGGCGTGGATCAGCCCTGGAAGCATGCTGAGAGAGAGAAGCTGGACACAAAGGGTCATGTACCGTATAATTCCTGTTATGAAATATTCAGAATGGGCAAATCCAGAGAGACAAAAAGCAGATTAGCGAGTGCCAGGCGTTGGAGGGAGGAAAGAATTAGTTCCTGGAGGTGGGGTATTCTTCCGAGATGACGACGAGGTTGGAGAGTAGAGGGGTGGTGGTTGCACAACTGGTGAGTGACGAAAAGCTGCTGGATTGTATGCTTTCAAATGCTTCGTTGCACATCATGTGAGTTTCACCTCAACATAAAATTTAAAAGCCCAAAGCAACACCTCCCATCAGGGTAGCTCCCCTGGAAAATTATTTCATAGTCAAGACGAGGGTATACTGGCTTCCTTGGGAATTCCCAAAGCCATCAGCTCACAGAAGCACCGTGCATGCACCACGCAAGGTCCTTTTCTGTTTGGTCGCAGGGTAACCTCGAGAATGGAGGAAAAACACTGGCGATTCATAAGCGAACTGATATCCTACACCCATCAACACACACTCTAACTCTTGAAAGACACACGCACACACGGAACAAAGCTAAAGGCATTACTTTTACACCTCTGTGGCTCATACAGACAAAATCGAAGTACCCTTGGACTCAGCACAAAACCAGACCTGCATGAAACTAGAAGGTACGAACACAAAGCAGCTCCAAGTCTGTCACCTTACTCTGTTGTACCCGCCCCACAGCTGGCTGGAATATTCCGACACCCAGTTTGGGACACCAACCCGTACAGGTGGAAGCATACCAGCAAAGCTGAGTGACTACCCCGAAAGAGGGGAAGTTCTCTTCCCTGAAGTGTGTATTTATCACACTGCATTAAGGCAACTTGACAGGGCAGGACCTCAGACTGCCGTCAGACCCTCCTCGTCCCGTGCCACACTCGCCCGTCCCTCCACAAGACCTTCGACAATGGCCTTCCTCTACCAATACTCTGTTTTTAAGTGCATCGTCCACAATATTCAGACAAGACTCAGTTTAGGTCTCCGTGCTACTCCAACTAAAACCTGGATGCCTGACGGGAACTTCAGGTCTCAACGTCGTACTACCACAGATCCCCTGGGAGGCAGAAGAAGTGGGCCACCAGGAGGTCGAGGCCCCTCACTCCCCATACCACTGCTCAATCACTTTGCCCTGGAACATCCTGCGAAATACTCTGCATGAAAGGACAACCAGAGTATCGCCAGCCTAGAAGTTGCTCTGGAGATAACGGGCGGGAGCAGCAGCTGGACGCACAGGGCGGAAGACGAGCAGGTGACCTCCTAAGTGGGGGAAACGGAGACCAAACCGCCAGGCAGGACCGGGGCTGCCCCTCCCCGTTCTTCTCCTCCAGCACTTTGCCGCTTCGGCCTCGCTCTCCTGTGCCCGCCACCCTCCTGTCCACCTGGACACAGAAACTAATTCTAGCTTTTGGTTAAACACATACACGTGCAATCTCCAGTACGTTCACGGACTCAAACGCATCTTTCTCCGTTTTTGGTTTTGTTTCTGAAAGCAAGCCTTCTAAAACTTACTCATTCCAGCAGAAATAGAGGACGAGTGTATCAATCAGGTTAAAAATGGACGCATTTCTGAAGTGATTTTTGTAGCTGATTCTGCGTAACAATGTAATTCTTCAGATAGCTTTTTCAAGTGCAAATATACTTTCAATTCTCCATAACCCTCTAACCACATGGAATCACAGCCCGGGCATAACAGCAGAGCCCCCTAAATGGGGCTGGTTGGAGAACAGATACGGCAGCATTACTCCTCATTTGTACCGGTAAAAGCAAAGATCTACAGTAAGTGAGTACTACAGAGTTTGATCACATCCACAAGGTCCTGACCCGTGTCTTTTGCCTCTGGTTACTCAATGTAAGAAGAGATCACGAACTACCTTGTTCCTCTGTGGACAGAGCTCATGACAGCACTATTAGGTCCATTAGCTCTCCTTCCAAAAAGGCCAACGAGCTCAATGTCACAACCTGAACCCCTAGCTCCAAGCACCCTTTTCACTCAGGCTCAGTCTAAGTTGTTAGTTACAAGTAAGTCCAGCAGAGAGGACTGAGTCCTTACATTCCATTTCTACTACCTAAAAAGGCCTAAAAATACCTTTAACTGGCAACGCCGAGCCGCCGTGAAGTAATAGCTCTTTGGCCTGGACCTCGTGAAAGTGACTTTCTTAAGGCCAGCCAAAGAGCCTCCCCATCACTCAAGAGAAAACATCACACATACTAAAGGAGAGAGACACTTAACGAACACGGTCAGAAAAGAAAGCCAAGAGCAAAACTCCGCTTTGTGTAATTTCCAGAATGTGCGACAGCTTGAACCTGCAACTACACGAAACAACTGATCTTGATGCCACGGTGCCGTCAGCCTTTTCGTGACTCTGTATTATCGAGAACCATGAAAATCCACCATAGGAAGCAATAAAAATCCCTCAACTCCACACTGGTGTTAATAACTAACATTGCAGGGCTCCTGTTTGGCTCAGTCGGTTAAGAGTCTGACTCCTGATCTCAGCTCAGGTCATCATCTCACGGCTGGCGGGTTCGAGCCCCACATCGGGCTCTGTGCTGATGGCACAGATATCAACATCCACTCGAGAGCCCCAAGGCCAGCTGGGTGCATAAGCCTGTTGAGTTCATCTGTTCATCAACTCGCCCCTGGAGTTGCACGAGGACTTCAGACAGGGCCCCGGATGAGCTGGGAGCCACGACTCAGGGAACAGCAGGCCGGGTAGTGGCCGTCCCCACACCAGGGACACTCATCAGAAGGCGCCTTACCCAGGTTGTGCCGCTTGGACTTCGCATGCTCGTGAATATGTTTCTTTGTGAAACAGCCAAAGAAGACGCAGTGCAGGCAGGAGTGGAGCCTGTTCAGGTGGACACCACAGACGTGACACACACACGACTTTGCCTGAAATCGAGAGAAGAGAATTAGGAGCCAGCGCATGGCACGATGGGCCTTCTTACCAAGAAAGCGGGTGAGCAAAGTGACCCGTGTGGGGAAAGGAGATCACAGCATACCCTGTACGACCTGAGAGACCCTCCGTTAATCCTTTCTCCTTTCAACTGCCCCAAAATGTACATTAGCTCAATTAGCTCAAAACTAGGTCCGTGTAAAAAACCTCAGCCCAGGGGCGCCTGGGTGGCTCATTCAGTTCAGCATCCGACTTCACTTTGGGTCATGATCTCGAGAGGGGCAGGTTCGAGCCCCACGTCAGGCTCTGTGCTGACAGCTCAGAGCCTGGAGCCTGCTTTGGATTCTGTGTCTCCCTCCTCTCTGCCTTTTCCCTGCTTGTACTCTATCTCTATCTCTCAAAAATAAACAAACGTTTAAAAAAAAAAAAAAAGCTCATTTACCACGTAAAGCTTGAGGAGCCATCAAAGTCTTAGTGTTCTCCTCCTGAGTCCCAACAGGGCACCCCAACCCTCTCAGCTCCTGTCCCCACCCCAGCCCGGCGGCTCCAAGCCTAGTCACCCTTACCATGGATGTCACTGCGCGTTTGATATTCCAGGTCACAAGACCACAGCAAAGTTAGAAGCAATCAACCAACCAACACACAGGGACGTTGAGTCAAAGCGATACAGAAGAAGAAGAAGAAAAAGAAACAGTTTGTTGCCAAGAACTAGACCACAGAAACCTAAAACTCTAATCTCAGCAACTGCAAGTCGTTAGGATTCTCATACACCCAACCACCCAAGAACGCCACTGCTTTCTCGCACAATATGACAACCACACCGTAGTCACTATAAACTCCCTGCAGATTATCAATTTCCAACGTCCGACACGGCAGCACGGAATACAATTCTCTTCTGTTCTGACAGGTGGGCGGGAAGCAGGGAGACGGAGGAAAGCGGAAAATGAACAGGGTCCGGGGAAGGGAAGGTTACAACAGAAAGGGCTGCCCGCACAAGCAATCCGTACTACCCGCCATGTGCATTCTAGACCCTGGTGCCGGGGGTTTCAGAGGACTTAACCTCATTCAGTCCTCACAACCCTCCCACCCCCCAACCCACCCCGGGCAGGGGAAAGGCTTTAGGCTCTTCCGACACCCGAAGAAAGCTATTGTATATGTTTGTGACCATGGGGTGGGGGACACAGGGAGAACGTGGACTGGGACGCGCCTACCCCAGCAGCCCCCTCACCCTGGAGGCAGCCTACTCCTAAGCTTCACTCTGCACACACAAGAAGAAGGCAAGTGCCAAGCCCAGGGGTGACAGGCTGTGCCTTCACCTAGAACAGAGGGTGTGGAGGGAGGAGAGGGTCTGGGACTAGGCTCAAACCACATTTACTATAAAACATGAACCACAGTTTTTACTTAGATGGAAGCTGCCTTATGGGCAGGGAGGGTGCACGGATGAACTCCTTGAAGACAACAGAGCCTAGCGCCTGAAGCCCGAGGTCGGAAGACAAATTAGGTGAGCCAGAACCACGCTGTGGCCGAATCGCAGACGTTTCTGCATGTCAGGTTCTCTGAATGCCCACCCAGCCGGGAGCTGGGGAGAGATCCAGATCCTGCCCAGGAACACGGGATGGAGCAAGGCCCCAGGGGCGTCCCGAGAACCACAGACCCACACCACTCTCAGGGTGCCAAGGCTGATCCATCACCTTTCAGCTGCTGGTGGTTTTATCTCTGGGCCCAAATTTAAACCTGATCGTTAAGGGGCGCCTGGATGGCTCAACTGGCTAAGCATCCGACTTTGGCTCAGGTCAAGATCTCGAAGTTCGCGAATTCGAGCCCCGCATCAGGCTCTGTGCTAACAGCTGAGTCTGCAGCCTTCTGATTCTGTGTCTCCCTCTCTCTCTCCCCTTCCGCATTCACACTCAGTATCTCTCAAAAATAAACATTAAAAAATAAATAAATAAACCTGATCATTAAAACCGTATTTCTTCTTGGGGAAACAATTACTCTCAATGGTCAGTACTTATGTTTGTTAACACGAAGAAGCTACCTCTGAGAACCCCGTAAGGTTCGCCCCCAATGCAGGACTTCCCAGTAACACCACCACAGACACGTGGGGCCTGGTAACTCTTTGCGTGTGTGCGGGAGGGTGTGGGGTGTTTCCTGGGCACCACGGGATGGCCAGCAGCATCTCTGGCCTCTGCCCACGAGATCACAGGTGGCACCCTCCTGCCGGTTGAGAGCCACCAGTCCTAAAGCAAGGCCACAGGATGCTGCGGTCTGTGTGGAAGACTTTTCTGAAGTGCCGTAGTAATACAGTTAGTGGTTGTATCATCTATTTATTCGTCCAGTGACAAATCGAAGAGATTAATTCACTGTGACTGCTTTCAGGAATACAGAGGACGTTTTTAAATTACATATACAATTATATTTGATGTAAACAAATGATATAGGTATCAAGGAAAATTCCCCATTAGTTATAAATACTATAAAACAACAGATTCCTGGAGATTCTTAGTTACCACCACAAGCTAGAATCTGTTTGCCATTCACTACAATTACAGATAGAAAGAATAGGAAAGATTAAGAGGTATCCTTTATTTTTACCACTCAGGATATTTTAAAGGCATTATCATGATTTTAAAAAATTCCTCTAAGAACTTGAAACAGTAAATCTAATTCTATAGAACAAGAAAATTCAACAGTAGCATTGCCCTGAAAACATAAGCTTATCTGAATAATTACATAACTATCACACTTAATAATTTTCCCTTAAAACACACAAAAAGGTTGTTTTGGGTTTTTTAACGTTTATTATTGAGACAGAGCATAAGGATGGGAGGGGCAGACAGAGGAGGAGACACAGAATCCTAAGCAGGCTCCAGGCTCCCAGCTGTCAGCACACAGCCCGATGGCAGGGCTCGAACTCACATACCGCGAGATCACGAGCTGATGAGATTCGAGCTGGCAGGGCTCGAACTCACATACCACAAGATCATGAGCTAAGCCAAAGTCAGACACTCAACCGACTGAGCCACCCAGGCGCCCCTACACACAGTTTCTAAAACAGATAAAAATTAAACTCTGAATTTTAAATGTAAAAATATGCCACCTGTTCTTTTGCAGAATTTCATGAAAGAAAAATCTGCCTAAAGAAAAAGATCTTAGCTGCACAAAAAGAAACTAGCAATTACAAAGAAGCAGATCAGCTCCAACTAAAAACACAGAAGGGGCGCCTGGGTGGCTCAGTCGGTTAAGCTTCTGACTTCAG